TGGTGCTCCCTCTGTCCTCGCTGGGGTCAATTGTGATGCCTGCATTCGATGCCCGCATTCAATGCCCGCATTCGATGCCCGCATTCGATGCCCGCATTTGATGCCCGCCGCGGCCCTGTTTGTACGGGGCCGATGCTCAGCAGTCTGGTCTTCAGCAGAGGCTGCCCTGCGAGTCACAGAGACGACTGGAAACCCTTTGCAGCAATTGTGGCCCTTCGCCGGTTGCCGTGGTGCTCAGAGCCTGAATCACTAGCCAGCTGAACTCCTGGCAGGTGGCGTGCGCCTGACCGGTGGGGCAGTCGCCTGGCGCCTAGACCTGGGTAGGGCCAGCAATCTGAATTCAGTGGCGGCGATTGAGCCCAGCATATTACCATTGGGTGGGAAGCAATTGATCGTTTTTGCACAACCTACTCCTTGTGCCTCACTGTCTTGCAGGCAGATATAGGTTGTAGTGATGTAACAATGGCAGTGACAAGTAAATAAAGCTGCGGGCAAATGCGCACTTGCTTCACGTGCCAAATTGCCAAAATGGCATTGTATTGCTTGTATGGGTTGCTGCAGGATGGACAGGATTTCCCTCACACTCACCCTGGCAGATGAATTGCAAAAGACTTTTGAATCGTCAGAGATCGCCCATGAGGCGAAGCAGGGACTGCTGGGACACAATGCAGCCATCACAGAAGCATTGCAGCAAGTTCAGAAATGCATTAAGCAAAATGAGTCAGAAGGGTGTGAGATGGCACTGGTGGAAGTGCACAACCAGCTGTGCAGGATTGAGGTGGAAGTAAAGGGCCTGAAGGAAAGGGGCTGGTGGTCTCAGATAGGCAGGTCGGAGGACATATCCCCTGATCTGGACAGGGTGCAAGTGGGCCTCAGCGAAGCCCTTCAGGTGAGCAGTTGCCAACAAGGAGGCCATTCCTGTCTGCATAATGTGGTCAACGGACCAAGATTCGGAATGCATAATGCTTCAAAGTCACAAGCGACAGTACCTATGTTGCCATGAATCACAGCAGCCCCAACATGAAGTTTGAAGTGGCATTTGCCTCTACTCTAATTGTGGGAATGCCAACCCTTCTTTACCTCTGAAACAGCATGGACAGAATTATGCCTGTCATTGTAGATCCATATCAGTTGCAATGTCACACTGCACTTGAGAGTGCATGTCAGTCAGAGCCCAGTCATATTTCACACAATGGGACCTGCTGAATTTTTGCTTCCTTCTTGTGCCATTCATGCAGCACTACAGGTAGTCCTGACTCACCAGCAGGAAGGCCAGCCACCTGTGTCCTCATTCAGCACAAAGGAAACGGGCATTTCTGGTCTCTACAATGACTTGAAATCGACGTTCAGTTTTGCAGCCGATGTGTCAGCAGATGATGATCGTCCCTTAGCATCAACACTAGAGTTTCAAAGAGCTAGCATTGGAGATGGAGATCAGGGCACTGCTGTTAACTCTTCCATGGTGAGAGCACACTCATCGACCAAGGCAGCATCCATTGGTTCGTGGTAAAATCCTGTGGGAAAGCAACCCTGCATAAATGTATTGTTGGTCCAGTGCTTTAGTAAAACAAACCCCTTCACTGCGGCACACGTACTCCCGGCATTTGAGTACAATAGGTATTGCTGGACTTGCCAGATCTGTATTGAAGATCAGTGTGCATTTTGCCCAGCCCTGGACTTGCGTTGCACGAAAATATTTGGATCTCTGCACCCTAAGCCCCAAGGTCTAGGTCTCACAAGTCCCAAATATTGAGTGCTACATCTCTAGCCCTCATATCTACACCCTCTCTGAACTCTGAAAGCAAAACCAGCATTCCGATCAAGGCACGGAACACCCACGCAGTGTTGCTGATGGGCTTTGCTTTCCACTTCTACATGCTATGTATATAACTATATACCCTCCAGTTACACTGTACTGGTTTGCTCCACATGCGTGGCATTCTGTACAGTTGTTCACTGCAGTGCTGCGCATCCCCGCCATGCAAGCAGGAAGACCTTGGCGGCATCAAACACAGCACACTGTAGGTCGAAGTGGCCCAGAAAAAATATTTCCTCCGTACAAGATTAATTGTCGTCTATGATTTTGGGGCGTTACGTCTCCAACCTATCAACATCGGTTTTCATTGATCTTTCGCCCAAACTTGTGTTTGTGAGGTTGGAGTATGCTATCAAAATTTGATGTCAATCCATTAAATCTTGAGGATTTGGTAATACTTTGTAGCAAGGGTCCTCCTCTGGCCAGAAAACGGCCGGTTTTCGACGTGGCGGCGAAAACCGCCGTTTTTTGCTGTTTTGAGGAGCACATTTTTGCGGCGGCGAAACAAAGCCGCACAAGCAAAACTATCCACGTCGTCCAAAGGGAAGGTCAACACGGTGCTTGCAAAGAGGCAAGATGACAGAAAACATGTTTCGAAACCGCTGATCGTCAAACTCGCCATGGCTTACAGCTGGAATTTCAAGCTCGCTCCAACGGGTCGGAGCTATGATCCAGGCCCAGATTTCTGGACCAGGACTTTGCAGTCTCCATCGCCACCACTAGGACAGCCGTGGGAGTTCTCCCAATCCTCTCAACAAGGTGCAAAACAAGGTAATGGCCATCACGGCAATCAATCGTGGATACATAGTGAACTGGCCATTCTGGCGGTAATCGCCAATTGAACTTGTTTCGGCACTTGAAAGGATTGGGAGCTAGCAGAACAGCTAGAAGGGTAAAGTCGTGTCTTTTAAAGCAATCGAGACTCATTAGGCTGTGATGCATTGTATACTGAGCGCAAGAATTGGCCGCTAGGGGCCGTTTGTGGATTCTTGCTGGGTTGCATGCGAAAGCCTCGATTCAAGCATCAATCGAGGCGGCGTGTCCAAGCAAGGCTGCAAAGCAAACTTGGAGAGATAGCACGCGCTCAAACCAGCCTTTAAGGTCTTGGACCTTGGCCTTTTTTGCTCAGTAAAGGCCCGTGCATCTGAGATCGAGAACATCATGGATTTCCAGCATCTTCATTGCCGTGACAATGGCCACCCTCAGGAAGGATCCAGGCACCATCAAGTAGGTTGGCAAGAGCTACGCCACGTGCTGGATGCCCCCCTTCGCCACGGCAGTGGCAATGACTGTCGTTGCTACTTGCAAGCACGGGAGCAGCCAAGAATTGAGGGTCTCTAGGAATGCAAAATCTGAACGGTCTTTTTGGGGACTGACCTGAGGCTATTTTCGGAGGCTGCTCACAGGGCTGAGGGTTGCCTTTGTTTGTTGAAAATTGTAACCTAAGGGTTTTGAGACCAAATCTTTCCGAATCTGGCCTCCTCTTTTAGTTTAGATGCCATTTTCATAACGAAATTTCTAATTCAAATAGATGACAACTGATCTTGGACAGAGGAAGTACCTTTTTGTGCAGAGTACACGAAAGATTCAGCATTATTAACTTTGTAGTTGTTCGAAACAGTACTTTGTTGCACCCATGTTGCCCATAATGGTGTGACAGCACACAGTGCACCAGTTTGTCCCCTTGTCTTTGCACAATTGTTAAATTGTCCAGCTGCATATTGAGCAGAGAGGGCACCTGTGTGACTTGGCCTGGATGACTGCTTTCCCTGTCAGGGATTCAATGGAAACTGCATGGAATCCTCAAACATGGCAGACTGCTTCTTGAGTGCTTGTCAAGTTTGACGTTCTTGCTCACGCTGATCAATGCAATGCCTATTCGCAGCAGTGTTTACGATTACTCTCAGCTGAATGTCAGTTTGCTGTTTGTTGATCATGTACAGCAACCAGATGCATGCCAGAAGCCAGCATGCCCCAAGGTGAGCCCCTTTTTGGTGCTGCACACCATATACTGCCAACCAGGTGACAATCCGAACCTGGTGAAGTCGCCACCTACAGCAAGTTTTGAGTCGTGCAATTTGGTCCAATTCATTGACGTTGTTTCAATTGACTGGGCACATCCTTAGAGGGATGAAATTGACTCAAAGGCCATGGATGCCATTGCATTGTGGCTGATAATCCAGATTGATCCAGCACATGTTCTGTGCCTTTCAGAAACAGGATGCTCAAAAGATGCAGAAACAGCCCAAGCTGGGTACTTTGCCACCATATGCAGCCCAATTAACCCTGTTCTCGGCAAATAGTACACTAAGTATGGTAATATATTATACCCTGGGCTTTTTTATGTGGTGCAATAGCAAAAACATAACGGCGCCAAGAAATGTGGAACAGCTGCAGCTACAGTGCGAGGTTCTCTGGACTGCTCATGGTGTCTAGCGGACCCAAATACATGAGTCACCATGGTGGAAAACCAGCTTTTGAGGCCTTGTGAACTGAGCGGAGACGCAATTCCGTCTGTAACCATGATGGGAAGCTCCCAAAATAACAGTCTGTTGGTTCTGAGCAAGAATCACAACAATGAAATTTTGAAATTCAGAGGGGCTGGATATACTATGGTACTGCTTGCTGATTGTACTGAGAAATGGTACAGATATTGTGGCCAAACTTCGTATGTATGGTACTTATCATCAGCACCAACGTCTTGTGCCTTTCTCCAAGAGGGTTGTTGTTTGTCTATACCCACTTCCAAGATCATGTGTTGTTGATTATTCCAGGGCACGTTATGTTGCGTTGATGGTAAGCACATGAGTTGTGAAAAGCAAAGATCCATCGCAAGGCTTGAAGGACGCCCAATTATCAAAGGTTGCTGGATTGGCCAACAGTGTGGTCTAGAATAATATCCCTCTCAAATAGTGCTTGCTTTCATTCTCAAGCATTTGTGGCATTTTCACAGCCTCAACCCATTTTCTGTGCTGGACAGCTGCTTTTTAGGTACAATCGAAACTGCATGGAATTCCTACAAAAGCAGATGGCAGAGGCCAAGGAAGCTCTCTTGGCTGGCCGCTTTACCAAGGTGGTGAAACTTGACAGCACATCAGAAGCAGAGGCAAATGCCACCTCATATGAAAAGGCATTTGACCATGCATTGAACCTTGGGAAGACATTGACTGGTCGACATGCCAAGGCCTTTGACATGCACAAGTTCTACACGGCCACTGAGGCACGAGAGGGTGCACAGGCGATCTGCAAAATCCTGAAGGCTTGCTTGGAATGGTGGAAAGTGGAGGGTGTGGAGATCCTTGACAGGGTGCCGCAAGAGGCAGTTGAGGAGGATGAGAAGACCCTGGATAGATATCTTGGCTACATTCTGGGAATGGAAAGAGGGGACTACATTTTCAATGATATGCATGCTGATATTCAGAAAGAGTGGAAGCAGGCGAAACAAGAGCATGAAGTCCAGTTGAGGAGTCTACAGATCGTTCCAGACCAGGAGATCGGGCTGCCTCAGCGTCAATTGTCTGAGTCTGTGTATGTGGCAACTTACAGGGGCAGGGAACATGCGGTGAAAAGTGGCAATCGAATGGACAACGTTGGATTCGCAAGGTTCTACACTGAGGCAGCAGTGATGGGGCGCATACATTCACTATCTGTTGCCCGCCTGTTTGCTGTGACTCGTTCAGGAAAGCTGGTGATGGAAAAGGGGGAGATGGACATCATGACATGGTTCTGGCAGCACAAGTCGCAGGGCCTGAAGTTGAAGCTCAGGCTTTTGCATGATGCGGCCCGAAGCTTGAACGAGGTCCACTATGCAAAGCTTGTCCACCGTGACATCTGCACCAAGAAGTTTGTTGTGTTTGGCGGAGGCCAGCCCGAGGTGAAGCTGGTGGGGTTTGGCAAGGCGTTTGCCACTGGCAACATCACGGGGAAGAACACTGTGAGGAAGCATGGCAAGATCACATTTGCGGCCCCCGAAATCTTTGAGGAGAAGCCGTGTGACCTGAAGAGTGACATATACAGTTTCGGCATCGTGATGTATGAGTTGATAGGGGAGACCTTGCCCTATGGCAGGGGGGCCACAGATGCAAAGGTGATGGCGATGAAGAGAAACGGCGAGCCACCTTCTGACATTCCTCCTGGTAAGTGTCCTGATGGGCTGCTGAACTTGATGGCAGAGTGCTGTGCCGTCGATCCAGCTGCCAGGCCATCATCGATGGAAGAAGTGCAGCAGCGGCTGACCAAGTTGGTGGACCAGCAGGTGTGTTTCACGTGCTGACGGGCTCCTCGCAATGGTGGATTTAGGCATTCTCCACAAAATGAGCCATGCCTTGAGTATGGTAGAATGTTCTGTTCAATACTTCTCTTAACGCAGATTGCATGAATGGAGTAATTTTTGTTGGCATACTATGGAATAAGCAAGATGTTAGTCATCCTCAAGGCAAAGAAAATCTGAACAACTATGCCCATATATGTGTACATCGCAGAGATGGTATGTGGCTTGAACTTCACGCCATGAAGGTGGTAACCCAAAATAACAGGTCACCATGACTGTCTGGTGTTGTCTACACTGAATATCCCCTCAGCGGAATGACGGCATTTTTATTGAGGCAATTTGATTGGCGCACTGCGCTAACAGCACAGTTGCAGGCAAATTTGTTATCTGTTGGCAATGCAATTTCAGAGATGTACATGCATTCCCTTTTTGGCTTGGAATAACTGTTGTGCACCTTATGCTTTGTCATCGTAGTGTGACCGCCTAGAAACAGCCAACTGTTGGTTTTTAATGCTGTAGCAGGATGTTTGTTGGTCGGAATTGACCATTCAGTACTGAGGAAAATCGAATCCGAAGGAACCCCCACATCTTGACTGTTGCCTGAGAAACACTGTTGGGTAAGGGGAACAAAGTGCAATGCAGTTGCCAACTACTTTTAAGCTCTCCCAACCCCGTCTGCACTCTTCCGCCATGGAAGACATCTCAACTATGGTACATGCCCATCGTGAGCTGGCAATGAACACAGATTACCGATTTTTGCCTGCAGTTCTCTTGCTGATGCAGGTCGTTTGCTGTCCAGGTGGATTCCGTGCAGAAGCTGCATGCAATGATCGATGAAATAGGAACAATGCTGCAGAATGCCAGATACAATGTGAACATGCTGGCGTTTTTGCATGCCTGCATGACAAAGGCAAAGAATGTGTACGAGATTCCAAAACGTCCACAAGATTGGAAGGACCTGGTTGGGGCTATCAAGGATGGGATGGATCTTGTGGCACGGCACACCCAAGAATTCAACCTGCGAAACTATTACACAGTTGACGAAACGCTGTACTTGGTTAACGGCTGTTGCACCGACATTCTGAGATCGGCTGACCAGTTTGAGGGAAATAGTGCATCTGACACAGAGAGAAGTGTTCCAGGCTCCACCGCAGAGAAGGATAGGAATTTCTTGGAGCAACATCTCGGGTTTGTGGTTAGGGTTTTGGATCATGACAGTGTTAAAGATGGAGGATTCCTTGAGGAGTGGGAAACTGCAAGGTCGCGGCTAGAGAAGCAAGTTAGGGATGTGCAACGGATCAGCAGGACTGATGTCGACTGGAAAGGAAAGACAAAGATTGCAGCTGGTGGTGAGGGTACAGTTTACAAGACCAGATGGAATGGCAGAGAAGTGGCTCTGAAAGTGCCAAAGGATTCAGAGTCTCACCACACCATGCTAGCGGAGTTTTGGGCGGAGACCGCACTTATCGCAGAACTAAAACATGAGCACGTCGTGCCTGTACTGGCCATGTGTGGTGGCGTTGCAAACAGCAGTGGTAACGATTGCACACCCTTCCTGGTCATGGAACTGGCAACCGAAAATCTGGGTGCCTGGTACAAACGACAGGGCCTTGAGGCCTGGGCGTTGAAGCGCAACGTGTTGCTTCAGGCCGCAAAGGGCTTGCACCATTTGCACAAACATTGCGTGGTCCATAGAGACATCAAGCCAGAGAACATCCTTATCTTCCCTGGTGGCGGGGACGGCTGCCCAATCGTCAAGTTGTGTGACCTGGGGGTGGCTGTCGGGCAAACAGCGGAGTGGAGGAGAAGAACAACCAAGAAATGGCAGCCTGGAACGGAGGAGTACAAAGCTCCTGAGCTGTTTGATGGCAAGCGAAGCAGCCCCGAGAGCGACGTCTACAGTTTTGGAATAGTGCTGATCGAGGTCGTGGCGAATTGTGAACATCATCTGTACAAGGGTCACTCTGGACGGAGCGCGAAATTGGATGGCAAATTGCCCTGCGCGATTCCTGATACCTGTCCAGCGGACCTCAAGGACCTGATCCAAAAATGTCTAGATGTCAATCCTGATAAAAGACCGTGTATGGAAGAGGTGAAGGAAGTCCTGCATAGAAAGTGAATTTCGAGGCTCGTTTGCACTGGGCCTGTGTTTTAGATGCAGCTAACGCCAGTACCTGGATCGGTATGCAGAGGGTCATATGGTGGGTCATGTCACAAATTGTAACACTGGTGTTAATCGAGGACGTCGTTGTGTAATCGGAGAGAAACAGATAGATTTTCGAATGCAATTAGTCATTCTGATATGGCATCAGTGCAAACGGTTGATGGGGGCACTTTTGTTCATTGGGAGAATAATGAAGACCAGAGAATAGCAAGCTCTGATACGTCCAGCTTTCGGACATCAATATTTGCCATGTGCCCTCGACCGTAAGCTTTTCATGTAATTCGGAGTTGTAATGCAGTACAAACTGAAGTACTGTGGTAATAGTCCAACCTGCGATTGCAATCTCACTGCACTGATGAGACCCCTAGAGCCTCCGCAACCGCATGAGTCATGTGCAATCGCAGGTTGGAATGTGCGCCAATGTTCTAACCTGCAACCGCGTTAGCAAGGGTAGAAACCGCATGTATACAGAGCCAGCTGTCGCATCACCCTGTGGGTGGCGGCGCCGGCCTGTCACATCCCCTAGTCAGTGGCTGATGTGCGGAATGTGATCGTTCGGGGCACGATCACGTATGCCCTGTAATCGCAGTTCCACACAGCGTAATATATTCAACCCTTCTGCAGGTTGAAATTGTACCCTTACGAATCTGCTCTGCAGTTTTTCGACAGGGCATTATTATACCGTGCCCCGCATCATGGGCACAGCCAGGCTGTCGACATTAATCAGCTCAGATGGCCTCGAATGATGCTTGTCCGCCACAGCGACACATGCATCTGGGGCCGTTGGGCGCCACGAGCACCCCAGACATCCTCCCGCTGGAGCTGGCCCTGCTCCACCTTCTTGGCACTGTTACAGTTTCACTATTGCTCTGCATGAAATGGCCAAGCCTTACGTTGCAATGCGAAAGGACCCAGTATCTTGTGGCACATGGCTTCACAATCAGGGAAGACGTTATTTTGATTTTGATATGGTTAACGTCAAATTGACGTTGACCTCAGCACCCCCCATATCCTCCTGCCAATAGCAGGCATTAGGCGGGGCTTTAGGATGTGCTGATTGTTCTATCTTCTTCTATTTTCCACCGATGATAAAGGTACGCGGCTTTAGACTTGTAAGGGACGTAGGGTCAGTTCAGCTGCTGGAAAGCTTGTTCAGTGTTGGTGGGGTGCTGGAACACGGGTGGATGGGTTTCAAGGGCAGGTCTGAGGCCTTCATTACAATTTACATCGCTCCGCACTTCGCTCATGAGGGCATCTTTTTCTTGCCTATGACTTCCTTATGTTATGTGCTCATCTTGGCTTCGAAGGATCTATATCATCTTTTCATATCAGATGGAAAAGAGCCTCACATGCACTTGCCTAGGAGGGGGTGCCCTCTGTATGACCTGTTTCTCTTTCTCTTTTGTAACAAATCTTACCCCCCCTCCCCCTTCCTCCTATTGCATGGCACCAGGCCCCTGGTGCGCCTTTGTGGAGTATGAAATCTATGCCCCGCCCCTAAAGAGAGCCCTCAGGGGCGCCAACCGTGGCGCCTCTGGTGGCTGGAGATTTTGGCACCAATGATGGATTGGCGGGGCGGTGGTGGCTTTGTGGCGGTGCCCTTCGTGGCGCTGCATCGCCTGTGGATCGACTGGTGTCAATGGCGCCTGCTTGGCTTCCTTGGCAACTGGGGTGGTTGCTTGTTGCACCTGTCATGGCCTCGCTGTGGTGCCTTGCCGCGCTGAATTATCCAGTGAAGCTCCAGAGACTTGAGGGGATGTGTGCAGATCCCAGCGCCCTTCACATCCAATTGGCCTGCTGTGGATGCCAGTGGCTCAAAGTGGCTTTCAGTGGCTCCTGGATTGTTCCCCTAGCCTTCTTCTCTGCGACGATAAAACTATGATAAACACAAACACGCAACTTCTATTAGGTCACGTCCAAACATGGCAGTTCACATCGTTCTCATTCTCCTTGCGCCTATTACTCTACTATTCGTATCACATTTGAGCATGCTACTGCAAACCTCACAACATGATTTTCTACTCCTCACATAACACACTTGCAACGCTCAGGTGGCCATCACTTCATTCCGCCACCTTTCCAGCACATTTGCAGCACCGCAATCGAATTTGTGCAGTGCATTTCAGGTGTTGTCTGCACTGGCTTTCCCCCTTGCAGAACAGTGGGCAAGTGGCAAATTATGAAGCAGTGGTAATAAATGAACGATATTGAATAAATAGTGCTGATAGCAAAAGAACATGGGCGAATTGCCACTGATGTGGCATAGTGTGGGACAGTTTGACTGGTGTACTGCATCTACCACAGAGTCGTTGGAACAACTGTTCTGCCGTCTCAGGGCAGTTTCAGGCATGCAGCCGCAATCCATCTTTTTCATGTGCAGTTTCTGTCGTGCAAAATGTGGTTCGCCATCAAAGAGTGGTATCTGGGAGGTGGCCAGGACCTGGAAACAACCAACTGTTGATCTTTAGTGCTGCAGCGAGATGCTTGGATGCCAGAATAAACCCATCATGACGAAGGCGAATTGAACCAAGCTGCACATCTTGACTCCTTGGGAGAACTGCCAGCAGGGTAGGGGCAGTATAGTCAAGTTGAAGCACTATTTGGTGGAGAAAATGGTAAGTGAAGGTAGTTCGAATGGCAGTGAACACAACCTAAGAGTTCGCGTAGATTCCACTGCTAAAGCGGCTCGTCCACTGTCCAGGTGGATTCCGTACAGACGTTCCACGCAATCATCGACGAAGTTGGCGAAATGATGCCAAATATCGGATACAACATGAAGACCTTGGCTCGTCTGTATGAATGCATGTCTAAGGCAAAAAGCGTGGACGATATTCCAAAGTACCCAGATGCACGGAGCGAATTGGACAAGGCAATCAATAATGGGAAGGAGCTTGTGTCGCGGCACACCCAAGCATTGGAACTGTGGAACCACTATAGGGTCGATGAAACAGTGTACTTGGTCAACACCTACTGCACATACGTTCTGAGGTCTGCTCACTAGTTTAGGAAGGAAAGTGCAGCTGACAAGAAAAGCGTTCCTGACTGCATTGCAGAAGAGGATAGCAAGTTCTTGGAGCAACACCGCGGTTTTTTGGTTGGAGCTTTGGGCCGCGATGATGTTGAAGATAATCGATTCCTGGAAGAATGTTCAGGCGCGAGGCCGCGGCTTGACAAGCAAGTCAGGGATGTGCAAAGGGTCAGCAAGACGGATGTCGGCTGGGGATAAATGTTAAAGGTCGCCGAAGGTGGTCATGGCACAGTTTACATGACCAAATGGAATGGCAATAAAGTTGTTGTGAAGGTACCAGAGGACCCAGAGAGGCAAGGTGGCAGTTACGCTACGTTGCGGAAGTTCTGGGTAGAAGCCGCGCTCATTGCAGAATCTGCCCATGAGCACGCTGTGCCCGTGTTGGCCATTGGTGGCGTTGCGGACAGCAGTGGGGTCGATTCCAAACCATTCCAGGTCATAGAACTGGCAGCCGAAAATCTGGCGAAGTGGTACAATCGACAGCACCTTGAGACCTGGCCGCTGAAAGGCAATGTGCTGTTTCAGACCGCAGAAGGTCTGCATCATTTGCGCAAACATGGCGTGGTACACCGCAACGTCAAGCCAGAGAACTCCCTTGTCTTCCCTGCTGACGAGGGCGGCTGGCCAGTCGTCAAGTTGTGCGACCTGGGGGTGACTATCGGCCAAACGGCGGAGTGAAGGAGAAGGAAGAGACAGAAGGAACAGCCTGGTACGACGGTGTATATGGCTCCTGAACTGTTTGAGAGCAAACGCAGCAGCACCGAGAGTGACGTCTTCAGTTTTGGAATTGTGATGATCGAAGTTGTGGCAAAAGGCGAGCCTCATCTGTACAAGGGTTTGCCCGGGCTAAACGTAAAATTGGAAGGCAGGCTGCCCTGCGCGATTCCCGATACCTGTCCAGAGGACCTCAGGGACCTAATGCAAAGGTTTCTTGATGTCAATACTGATGAAAGACCTGGTATGGAAGAGGTGAAGGAAGTCCTAAGTAGAGAATAAATTTCGAGGCTCAGATGTAACGGGCCGGTGCTTAATAATAGTACCTGGATCGGTATCCACCGGGTCACATGGTGGTCCATGTCAAAATTTTTAGCTCTGGTGTGTCTCGAGGACGTTGTTGTGTAACCGGAGAGAAACTGGCAGATTTTCGAATGCAATTAGTCATTCTGCTATTGAATCAGCCCAAACTGTTGAAGAGAACACTTTCTATTCTTTGAGAGTAGACTGAAGACCAGAGAATAGCATGCTTTGAGGCGTCCAGCTCTCAGATATCAACATATGACATTTGCCCTCAGCCACAAGCCACCCTCCTACCCAACATCAATCATTTTTGGATCCCACGATGACTCATCAACATTGCCTAGCAATTCTACACAACTTCAAAACGGTTCTGAAGGGCAAAGACAGCAAAAATTGTAGCGATTGCGGGGATTTGAAAATGGGAGGTCAAAAGCTATGACAGGCGACGGAAGCAGCCCAAAAGCCTGAAAATTGATCCATTCTAAGGAATTTCTTTGCCAGTTAGGTAAGGCGCTATGTCGAAAGTGGTACGCTTAGCACCAATATGACGCCGGGCGGGACTGACCCGGGTGACGCTGAGATTATGTAATTGGCACAAAGTCTGAAGATACACAAAACGCCATTGATCCAAGGCAGACAGCTTGTGGCGTGTTCCGAAAACCCCCCTCGAGCGTTCAAAATTAAACGAAGACCCCAGAATACCCCCAATAGACAGCCATCGGGGCTGCCCCAATCACCTGAAATGCCATTTATCACCCCGTTTTTCAGTGCATTACAATCGCTACAATTTTGGCCGTTTGTGTTCGTTAGAAACACCTTGAAATTGTCTAGCTATGTTATGTAAGGTTGCTGAGTCATTCTGGCATCGACATAAGGACTGGCGCTATTGGGTTTCAATGGAAATTGCCAGACACTAAGCGTACCAAAATCGACATAGCGTCTTCCCTTTACGGGGAAATGCAAAAGGGGCCGCTCTTGTGCGAGCATGCCGTTTGCTTGACAATCCATGAGGCCTCTTTCACTCCTCCATTCTTTCCCACTCCCTCGCCAGCGGCGAGTCGCCACCCTGAGTTGGTGCATGGAATTGTTGCGTTGTATCGGGACCTATGCATCAGTGTGAAGGGTTGCAGCGCCCACCCTCAGATTGGCGCCCGGCGGTGCCACCAATCCCGATGCCATGGTATGTGTGCTTGTCAGCGGCGTGCGCCACAGGCGGATTCGATCTCTGGGCGCCCAGGGCACCCCTCGCAGCCTTCGCTTTCGTATTGGCACAGCGCAGCAGGCTCACGGTTGCCAGGAACTGTGGTGGGGTTTTGAGGGACACCTGCAATTTTGAATGGCGGAGGGGTGCACGGCTGGATACGATGCGTGAAGCATTGGGCATACAAGCAACCAGCCACCCCTTCGCGGACTGCACTTGTTCCACCCACTTCGAGCGAAGTCAGTCTCAAAGACAGCCCAACCGCCCCACTGCTCAGGCCAGTCATCAGCAGTGTCACGTCCCGCTGGCAACAACATCGACGCGGCCCCTTTCCGCCATCCACTTCCCACTTCCGCTCAAAGGCAGCCGGGGCGACCCAGCAATCCCCATTACGCCCTGCGTGACGCTCCCCCCGCCCACCTTCATGCCCCAGCTCTCCACCGCGCAGTACCTTGGGACGAGGCCCAAGCACTCGGGCCACTGCTGCTGCCTCCCACCTGCTTCACCCTCGTGCCCTTTAGCCCGCGGGGTGCCGGTGTCTGGGGCCCTGAGCCGGAAGGCGCCGGCGGGCGGCTTCCGGTCACACGTGTCCGAGGCAAGTTCGGCCGCCCTCGACTCGATGAACCAGTTTGCCGCTTTGCCGCTGGGCTGTTCTTCGAGTTGCGGAGATAGGGGTGGGACGGTTGCGCGGCCCCGAGGCCGATCCGCGATTCGGGATTGCTGGAAATGGATTTGAAACGTGGCGGGCGGGAGGGTTTGCGTGACGGGGGACGACTGGCGTGGGTGGATTGGCGGCTCTGGGTGAGGCTGAGTTTCAGGATCGATTGGCGGTCAGAAGCTGCGGGGGTCCTTGATTGCGCCCGCTGTTTGATACGCCGTGCGCTTCGCGATGTCCCGTGGTTCGCCGAGAAGCCGCCTTGGCGCCTTGGCCAATTGCTGACGGCGTTTTTGAGGTCAGCGACCTGGCCCGACAAGCCCTGGGGAATATTTTCAATCGGCTCGCGCGAAGACATTCCCGGTTGAAGAGCGTTCCCGGTGGCCCCACGAAAGCAACTCCATCGCGCAGATCTCGATCTGGTTCGCTCTTCACAGGCGCCCCTCGGCCTCACGGACCGAAAGCGTGGCCTCATTGACCCTCCCCTTCTGCCGGGTTCGTTCCTGGCGTTGCGGCCCCGGAGAGGCCCGAAGACACCGTCTCGAAATCGCCGGCGCAGGTTTGCGGCACCCCGATGGACGCCCGGACGTCTGCGCGTGGTGGCCAGCCGTCAGGGGCTCCGAAAGCCTAAAACCGTGAAAAGGAAGGGGTGGGGGGTGAGGTGGAGGGAGGGCGGCGTCTCTATGGGACTTGCAGGCCTGCGACAGGAGGCGTTGAGCACTGGGAATGCGTCGTTGCGTTTGGTGCTCCACCATCCGTCTTGGTCTGGGGTCAGTTGTGATGCCCACATGCGATGCCGGCTCTTCGTCTTGGCGCGCTGAGCCGATCTTCGTAAGTCTGACTTACTTAGCGGCTGCTCTGCCATTCACACAGACAACTGAGCGCCGTTTGCAGCAATTGTGACCCTGCAGCGGCTGCCGTGGGCCGCGGAGCCTGAAATCACACCCCGCGGCTGAACTCGGGGAGGGGGGGCAGTGCCCTTTCTGATAACGCGATGGTCTAACCCCTGCGCTGGTAGAGCTGACAAACCGTTCAGTCCTTGACGGCAATCGAAACTAGTGAGGTTAGTTGCCACGGGGTGGCAGTGAGCAACTGACCGTTTTCGCACCACCAAGTCAAGGGCAGCTTTTTCCTTCCTCCAGGTAGATCTGAGGAAATAGTTGTTTAGCAATAAAAACAACAACAGTACAAAATAATGGGCAAATGCGCGATTGCTTGAGGGACCAATTGCTAAAATGGCAGTTCGTTTGCCTGCATGCTGTGCTGCAGGATGGACGTCTCCACCGCACACACCTTCCTGGATGATTTGCGAAGGACTTTTGAGTCCGCAGAGATCGACCCTGAGGCAAGGGAGGGACTGCTGGAGCAAATTGCAGCCCTCACAGAGGCACTGTTGGGGGTTGAGAAACACACTAAGCAAAGTGAGGTGGGAGGTTGTGGGGGAGCGCTGGAGGAAGTACACAACCGGCTGTGCCGAGTTGAGGCGGAGGTGAAGGGTCTCAAGGAAAGGGATTGGAGATCGGAGGATATATCCACTGATCTGGAGAAGGTGCAAGTGGCGCTCAGCGATGCCATACAAGGTGAGCAGCCCCCAGGAAGCAGGCCAATCCTGTCGATGCAATGTGCTCAAATGAAATTGCAAGTGGCTGACATTCTGATTGTATGAATGTTGCATGATTCTTCAAGTCACAAACCACAGCACCTATTGTGCTATGAGTCACAGCAGCCCAAATGTGCAGCCTACAGCAGTATTCGTCTCTGCACTTGATGCTGGAATGCCAACCCTTCTTTACCTCCAGTGGGCAAGGATGGAATTATCGCTTCGATGCACTTCCACATCACTTGTAATGCCACACTACACAAGAGGGCGCATCCCATTCAACCTCCTGTCATATTGTGCACAATGAGACCTGTCAGATTTTTATTTCCTTTCTGTGGCCTCCATGCAGAACTGCAGGCAGTCATGCCCGCACCCCCACAAGGAAGCCAGACGCGTGTTTCCTCACGCAGGACAAGGGAAACAGGCATTTCTGTTCTCTGCCATGACCTGGACTCGATGTTTAGTTTGTCAGTCGATGTATCAGCTGACGGTTATCACCCGTCTGCATCATCCAGAAGAGCGAGCACTGGCGATGAAGACCAGGGCACTGCTGTTGACTCGTCCATGGTGAGAGTGCACTCACTGGCCAAGGCACCATCCATTGATTGGATTGATTTCTTGTGGTAGAACTACCCCTGCAAATCCGAATGTGATATTGGCCCAGTGTTTGGCAAAACAAGCCCCCCACTACCACTGTGGCAATAAGTACTCCTGGTGCTTCACTACAACTGGCAAAGCTAACATTGCCAGATTTTGGTAGTAAGGCACTCCCCCGTGGTGCAAAGATCAATGTGCACTGTTACAAGCCCTGGATTTGTGTTGCACAAATTCTGCTTCCTTATACCCTTTGCCCCAAGTTACAGGTCTCCCAGGCCTCAATTTTAGAATGCTGCATATTCTACCAGGTCTGAAGCTGTCCCTGAACTCTGTGAGCAAAGGGCTCCGATCCATGTGTGGAGCACCCACACAATGCTGCTGATGATCTTTGGTTGCCACTTCTAAAGTCTATGCATGTAACTACAATCTGATTTGGAATTGGATTCAATTTGATTCAATTTGATACAATTTGATTTTGATTTTAATTTGATTCCCTATCAGCAGTTTGATCAAATACTGCATGAATCCTCAACATTGAAGGGAGATTTTCGGGTCCATGTCCCACTTGATGTTGTTGCTTGTGCTGCTGAATTCGCTGCCTAGTGCCAGCCATGTTTGACAGTTATTGCTCCCTGAATGTCAGTCTGATATGTGTTCCTACTGTTCAGGAGCCAGATACGCCCCAAAAGTCGACAGGCCACAAGGTGAGCTCTGTTTTTGGTGCTGCACACCAGATGCTGCCAAGCAACGTTCGCATTCCGATATTAGGGTAGTCATCACCCAGAGCACATTTGACATTGCACGATTTGGTCCATTTCATCGATGTTGTTTCAAGCGTTTTAGGACGAATGTAGAGGGATGGAACAGAGAAAATTGGCCATCGTTGCAAGTGAATGGTGGTTGATGATCCAGGTTGATCGATCCAGGCTGATCGTTGAGTCAGTCCAATGCATGTTTGTCCCTTTTCAGAAACAAGATGGTCAAGAGACACCAGAAGAGCCCAAGGTGGGTAACTGGCCAACGTGCCATTCACTCCCTTCTGGGCACATCGTAGAGTACTGACTCTTGCACGAAGCAATGGTACTTGCAATGCAGCAATAGGACCTGGCACAGAGCAGCAGTATGAATGTACTATGCTTTGCTCAAAGGGGTTTGTTGTTTGCCTCTGTTTACTTCCAAGATCTTGTGTTGTTGATGACTCCAGGGTGTGTTGTGTTGCGATGATAAGCACATGAGTAGTGCGGAAAGCCTAATCTTGATCCCCAGTGATCTGTGGCAAGGCTTGGAGATTGTGCAGTAATTTACAACGTGCTGGATTGGTCAACAACATTACCTTCTTAGAATGATGTCCTTCTGAAAATAATATCTGTTTTTCATTCTTGAGCGTTCATGGCATTTTTCACAACCTGAGTTCATTTTCTGTGCTGGAATGCAGTACTTTAGGTACAATCGGAACTGCATGGATTTCCTACAAACCCAGATGACAGAGGCCAAGAAAGCTGCTTTACCCGGCCACTTTACCAAGGCGGTGAAAATCGATGACAAACCAGAAGTCGAAGCAAATGCCGCCTCCTACAACAAAGCATTTGACCATGCATGGAACCTTGGAAGAACATTGACTCGTCGACATGCCAAGGCATTTGACACACAAAAGTTTTACACAGCTACTGAGGCACGGGAGGGTGTGCAGGCGATCTGCAAAATCCTGAAGGCGTGCGTGGAATGGTGGAATGTGGAGGGTGTGAAGATCCTGGACAGGGTGCCACAAGATGCAGTGGAGGAAGATGAGAAGACCCTGGATAGGTACCTCGGCTACATCCTGGGTACAGAAGAGGACTCCATCTTCAAAGGACTGCCTGCCAATATTCAGAAGGAGTGGCAGCAAGCAAAACAAG